CTACCTCCCCCCTCCCCAAACTGCAAAAGGATTGTTTATTCTCTGTACACTTGATCCAGATTGACCTTTCTGTTGATCTCTTTGATTCACTCGTATTCCCAAAAGAGAACAGGCAGTGGTAGAAAACACGGCTCCCCCCTCCCTCCCTTCCCCTCCCCCCCTCCCGCATTAGGTCCAGCCCCCCCTTCACCTCCAGCCAGGGTGCATTTATCTGAAGGGCCCTGAGAGCAGCAGCTCTTCCTGCCAACGAAGCCCCCCACCCCCACCCCCGTGAACTGTCCGGGGAGAGAGGGAACCCGGCCTTTTTCTGCCATCATCCAATCACCATCGTGAGATGGAGGGGTTTTTTTACCCTTTTCTTTCCAAAAGTTCCACCATCAGAACAATTTGCCAAACAGAAGCAATTTCGCTTCCATTGCAGCATAATTACCGATCACTCAGGTGAATTTGCCCGTTACGTATACGAACTCTTCATTCTAATGGTTTGATTAAACCCATTTTTCCACCAGAAAGGTACATAAATAAGTGAACTGTTGAGCAAATTAAGAACACTTAACAGCATTGCATCTGAAAAGTAGTTATGCTGATTAAATTTTCTGTCCTTGAGGATTTTCAGGAAATTACTTTTGATCGTCAATAACACAATTAAGTAAACTACACACACATTAGCATGAATAATTGATAAGAAATTATGTATTACCACGAAGCACTGATTTAATAATTCATGGTGCGACACTCTAGTGACTGTGCAAAACTGGAGGCCATCACAAAGTCTGTCTGATGTGGCTGGAAAAGCTGCCTGGCAGATTCGCTGTATAATAATATGAAATACTCTGCATGATGTATTTTCTGTTGCTTTAATAAAAAAAAAAGTACATTCAGAAGAAAAAGACTCCAAAGATCATTCTGTATTATTTGTATGTCTGTTTTTCTCGCTGTTCATCCCTGATCTGACTGATTTCATATAGGTGCAAGTGCACATGTGTGTGCAAGTGCACAGACCCACAGCCGGGCGCCACCGTCCTTCAGAGCCGCTCCGGTGTAATTCTGAAAGTACCACTGACCCAAAGGACGGGACCCAAAGGATGGGACTCGGGCAGAATCTCGGTTGCATTCCCGGGAAGGAGAGGAGAGGTTTCACAAGGAGAGGAGAAATACCAATGATAAATTGATACAAGGCATATTTGAGTTTCAGTCTTCTGACAAACTATTAATCTAAGAAGGCGAGTTGGAAAATCTTCACTCTGCCCGAATGAATTTCCTGCTTCGAATTGATTCGCCCAGTCCTCGGCTCTTTGCTGTAATTGACACTAATTCTTCAAGATCTCAGGCGGTGATTTATTTTCCATCTTTCCTCTGTGGGATCCTAGAAACATTAACCGAAGAAAACTCGTCTGAGACTAAACTAAGCAGGGTTTGTATGTTTGCATGTTTGTGGGTGTGTGACAGTTACAGAGACGGGACGTGGGGGCCAGTGGTTCACATGACTGCCGTTAGGGGGGTCAGGTAGCTAAAAACAGTTGCTTTCCTCTACTCCTGGCAGAAAGACGCCCGAAGGCTCTGCACCCACAGTGAATGCATAAAAATACACGGAGGCATCCCCAACAGCCGTCTCCTGGCTGCATCCAGTAAGTCTCTTCTGCAACCTCCTTTGGCTTTCCTAAGAAGAAAAGTTGCTGGTTTATTAATATGGAGAAGCGAGATTGCAGGGAGGGAATGCTCTTGGTTCAAGGTTTCGGCTATTGCTTGCCTCTTGGCTGTCAGGATCAGAAACAGGGATTTGATTTCTTTAACATGCAGATGATGCACCCTCAATTCTATTAATTTATTTCTTCTGATCTCTCTCTCTCTCTCTCTCTCTCTCTCTCTCTCTCTCTCTCTCTCTCTCTCTCTCTCTCATACAAATCTCCTTCTCATTAATAAATTAATAAGTCCAGGATTCAGAAAAGTATTTCAGTCGTATTAAGACTGTACTTAGTCCATGCTGCTGCTGGAATTAGATACAATCAATGCCTGAAGTCAGAAGCTCTCAGAACTTAAATGTTCAACTTGCTGCTAGATAACAGACCGGGGAGGGGTTTTGCCAAAGGAAGGGGGTGCTTTTCACCTCCACCCTGGAGACGGAGCAGGAGCGCAAAGGGGGGGGGTTTAAGGCTTGGTGGTGGAGATCACGGTCCAGAGACGCTTCCTGGGCAGACCCCAAAGGGCCCAAGTCAGCAGCCGGCCCTGCAGATAATCCAACAAGCAGTTTGACCCGGTGATCCCAACAGGTACAGAGGGGAGTTACACATTTAATTGTTGGTTCCACGCGCCTAACTTTCTTTTCTAATTAAGTTAGATTTGCTTTGTCATCTGAAGTTGTTTCCCTGTTAATCCTTCTGCCTATGAATTATTCTTTATTAAATTTCAGTATTCTACTTCCCACCAGAGGTTTCCTCTCTTAAATGCAGCTGTAGCCCACGGATCGATTTCTCCCACCGGCCCAGCGGAGCCTCAGCGCTTTGGAGGCCTTCAGGGCTGCAAAAAAAGACGGAGCCTCGGGCTGAACAGCAGGCAGCAGCCGTCAGGCCGCCAGGCCCGCAAGTCTGCCTTCCGGAACAGAGACTCCACATCGGGGCTGAGTTCACACCATGCTGAGCTTGGCTAACCAGGGTTTAAAGAATAAATCACAATTTGCTGGAGTTGCAAACACACTAAGTCATAACTGCCCTGTTTGAGAGATCCCACTAAATCAAGCAAACCAGATTCTGGGTTTATGCGCTGTGCAAATTCAGTTTATATTACATATAATATAACATTAAATTATAATTGCAGATTATAATAAGGATTTATAAATGGCACTACAGTATCTTCACCTTGTTCTGTTTTCCCCCCTTTCATTTGCTCAGCTACACATCTTTGCAAGTTTTAAAAAGTAGTAGCCATATTGGGCATGAGAAATGAAAATCCAAAATCAGTGGAGGCAATACTTTTATTTGGCTTATTGAAGTGTTATAAAATTTGCAAGCTTTTGAAATCCAAGAGTTTTTCATCAGGCAAGATTAGTCCCCCCCCCCAAAAAAAAGGGGGCAACCGAACGTAACATTGCTCTGTTTGTGAAAAGTCCCGGTTGATCTCCTGCAGCCTCCCCATTCTCCATCTGAGACCATGAAGCCTTTCAAACCAGCTGTGTCCTTTTGCCCTTCCCTTCAGAATATTGCGTGGTGACTGAAAAAAATGGCTTAAAATAAGACACAGGTGCACACACAGAGCTCTCACAACTTAATGTTTTCTTAACAGGCAATAGATATTCAAAGGGCTAAAAATAATGATCTATAGAGCTTTGCTTTGTTGGCAATCATATTCCTGGGAAAACAGCAGTTTTTGTAGCGCTGACCCTCCTGTGCCCCCCAGGCTCCCGAACTACAGCATGTGTGGCTAGTAAGATTCAAGCTTATTCCTGTCCAAGAAACCCCTCTGTTTGGAGAGTGCTAGCCATTTCAATTAGGCGTATAAGCAAACCGAAATAATATTTGAGGCGCCTTGATTTCTGCCCCTGAGGAATCTCATTCAGGAAAGAAATGCTTGCATAGGTACAAACAAGACTTTCGTTGGGACAGTCAACACTACAAAAACTGCTATTTGTTTCAATTCAACATTTCTGTTGTTTGAAGGCAAAATACCCCAGAAATTTGGCCACCAGTTAACTGAATCTCTGAATGATCATAATGTGGAGCTCACCGCAACACTTGACTTAAATTGTGACCTCCATACCCAAAGGGACAATGCAGTCCAACTGCAGAAGACGTCTAGAGTCTTGGCAGCCCATTTTCCTGATCCGGGTGTAGGAAGGAGGCCAAAAGGGAAGTGGCAGAAGTTGGACAGTTTCAGCCTTCCAATCCTGTTTCCTGTGATGTATCTTATCTCCGTCTTTGGGGGGGGGAAACTAGGCTGGTTGATCATGTAAGGAATTTAAACAAGGACACTTGGAGGAGGGAACACGTCAGTGTTCTCCAGGTTGCTTTCCATCTTACTAGTTACCACTGGCAGAAAACTAAATCCAAAATCTTTAGAGATTTAAAGGAGGGGATTCTTTGGAGAAAAATACTTACAAGATGGTGATGTGAAATGGGCAGTTCTAGAATTTTCGTGTGCCCATGTGTGAGTTTTCATAAAGTCTATATTAAAGTGACATAATAGAATTAGTAGATTCTATTTGCATAAAGTCTATTTCAACGTGATATAATAGAAGCTGTGGATTTCCTGTCTCAAAACAGCCAGAAACCTCACAACTGATTTTTGACAATGGCCCCTGGAAGGCTAGTGAGGGTGTAGTGAGGGGGCCCAGGGCTACAGGGGTACCCCACCTCTGCTCTTTTTTCCCCTTAATTTCCAGCTTCATCGGGGCAGGTTGACCATCTCGTGTCCTCCTATAGGGTGGCTGACCACCGGCCATTCACAGGGAGGGAACACAGAGGTTAGCTGGATCCAGGCCTTGCCTGGCCTTTTTTTTATAGTAGTTTCACAAATGTACAGGTTTTTTTTTTAAAAAAAACAACTGCTAGTCTCTTCTCCACTGTGTTGCCCACAAAATAAGCAATAGAAAACAGAACTGTGAAATGTGGGCATGTTTCATTTCAAATATATCAATCAGATCCAGTTCAATCCACCCAGTTTCAAAACCTGACGTTATACTCGTTTCTCTTCAGACCACATAAAACTTGATGTTTGAACTCAGAATTATGTTTTTGATCGTGAGGAACCAAGCCGTGAGGTACGAATTCAGATCGCTCCAACCCAGCCCGTAGGCAGTCAGGTCGAAGTATTTCTGCGTTGTACATCCGATGTACGGAATAGATTAGAATTGTTCAGAGTAAACAAAAAAGTGAATTCGCATTAGTATATTTTCTTATTCTACATTTGATCTAACAAAAAGGCCAAAAAGTGACGTTATTTTGTTATAATTGCTGTGCAATCCTCACCTTTTGTGCTTTCAGGTATGCCTAGCAATTCTTCTAAAGCTACAGCAAAGACTCTGGCGGTGCACCTTCAACCGCAAACTCTTCGGCCGAAGCCTTCGTACCCTCCCCTGTCTGAGGGGCAGGGGAGCCCCTACCCTTTTCGGAGTTTGAGGGGGACCCATCGGCGCTCTGGCTGTGAATATCGGGCAGGGCTGCGTCTGGGCAGGGCGGACCCTCCGAAGGCCCTGGGCAGGAGGCCCTCAGTGGCTCACCTGAGGCTGTCCCCGAGGCCTTCACAAACGCTCCGGGAAGCGGAGTGGATGATGGGAGGGTGGGAACAGAAGCCACCCTGGGCGGGAGAGTGCTGGGACCCCAGGCACAGGTGGGAAAGGAGACTTCTGAAGAAGGTGTTCGAGACAAGTTCCTTCTGGAGGAAGGAGCGGACACCTGGACATATCTACCGCTCTCGGGATCATAGAGCGTCTTTAACCGAAGAGGCAAATCTACCATAAAGTATTCCCCTGAGTCCGGATCCTGAAGCAGCTTACGCTGAGTGGCAGGCAAAGAGGGGGAGGGACTTGAGGAGAGCAAAGGCTGATGCTTTATCGGACCACATTTTGGGGCAGTCAAGGGAGAGTCAGGGCGGATGAGGGGCTGCAGAGATGGGGCTGGTGTCAGGCATGAAGCATCTTCATTCTGGGGCAGAGTTTCCTCCTCAAGCTTTTTCTGTTGAGCTTCCATCTTTTTCCTCCTACTTGCCAGCTTCTTTGCCCTCCGCAATGCCTTTTCTGTCTTGGGGGGCACCGTTGGGGGTTTGGCTGCTGTCCTTCCCATCTGACTCATCAGCTGGAGTCTTTCATTCGTCCCCAAAGGGCTGTCAGGATCTCCGGGGAGCTGATACGTTTGTTCTGGATCAAGCGTGGGCGTTGTGGAAGGTTTATCTATACTTCCTATTGCTTTGTGTAGTGGGAAATTCGCTACTTTTTCAGTGTGCGATATGTTGAAGTCTGCAGTTGTATCTGACAATGGACCTGTGGAAGCTGATGGCACCACAGGATCTGACCTTGGACTTTGTATGATAGAACCGGCTGAATTACTCAACAAAGAAGATGTGCCTCCAAAGGCATCACTGGAAACAGGAGAACAAGCATGATTTTCTGTTACTGTGGGAGAGTTTACCTCTTGACTTATTATTTTTTTAATGCAAGGACCACCCCTTTGCCTAGAGAAGGCACGGCTCTTCGTATAAAGTGTCCTTTCTCTTGTAGGGGACCTTTCCTCACTTTGTCTTGGCTCACTTTCAAAGTCCAGATTTGGCTGAATGGCAGAACTGGGCCTCAACTTCCTGATTCTGATCTCCTCTTTGGAAATAGCTAATTTCTCAGGGCTTTTTAATTCTTTCTCCGATAACACTGATAAACGATCGGTTTCTTCAGAATCTGCCATCATAGAAAAATGATCTAATCCTTCACTAAAGCTATAATTTGCGGTTAGACTGCTTTTGTCAGCTACCTGAGAGCCCCTGTTCCCTTGGATAGACCCCCATCCTTCCTCCTCCTCCCCCTCCCCCTCCCCCTCTCGGTCTGTCTCGGCATTCTTGGGGTTCTCCGGGGCGTTCGGAGCAGCTCCTTCACAGGACAAAGACCTGAGCAGAGGCAGCTTGATTGCTTTGGTCACAGGGGGCGACTTAAATGTGTTGTCTTTAATCGTGAACAGAGTGGGCTTCAACAAGCTTGATACGGCTGGCGTGAGGGGCTCTCCAGCCTTGCTTTCCGCCTCACAGTCGGTGCTTCTCCAGCCGTCTTCTTCCTTCTCCTCCAACGCTGCCTCTTGTGGGACATCCTCATGTTCATCCTTCCCCTTGTCTGTTTCATCCACAGCAGCACCAGAGTTGCTGAGCAGGTGATCATGCAAATCCTTTTTCTTGGCTTTCTCTCTCTCTTGGCAGCCCTGCTGTTCTCCTCCATCCACGCCGTCCCCCCTTCTCTGGCTCTCCTGAAGACAGGCTTTCTGGAAGAGCTGCATCAGAGAACAGGGCATCCTGTGGAACGGTTGGTCTGCCGTGGTAACAACCGGTTGCTCAGAAGGGCTGGGGCTTCTTCCGCCCTGGGGGCCATTTCCAGTTGAGGAGCAGGCCTGGGTTCCGCTGTTGCTTCTGTTTTCTTCAGCTGGATAAAACAGATTTTTAGATGATTCATCGGCATCTTGACCCAAAGCGATTTTTTTATATTTATGTTCCTGCATGTCCTCCTGCTGTACGGCTGCCACCTCTGTCAGGAAAGGTTCGGATGAAGAAGCAGGCTGAGTTTTATTGTGTTTGTGCACAGAAATCACCTTAACGCCCTCTGTGTATACTGAATTACTTTGCTGCAAATGATTCTTATTTTGATACTTTAAAATACCTGCCCTTGACTTTGATAAGCTCAACATTACATCATCGCTGATAAAATTCTCATTTAAACCGGTGAAATTGTCCTTTTCCTGAATGTAGTCCATTTGTTCAAATATATTAACTTTATCAGCACCACCAAGTATTTCTTTATTGCTGTAATCCAACTCACTGGTTGCCATAACATCTGCCTTCAGGTGGGCCTGGCCTTTCAGCTTGCTTTTGTCCTCCAGGCCTCTCGGGAGAGGAGAGGGGGTATAAGTGCTCTTCACGCGTTTTCGGATGTCCTTCAGGTTAAACAGTAAACGTGGTGCTTTAGACTTGTAATCATTCTGGGAGTAAAATGCCCTCTCCTCAGCTTCTTTGGTTGCTGCAGCTTCCAATACGAATGGAGTCACCACTAATAGCCGGTTTCCCGGTGGTCCTTCGTTCTTCGGCTTCAGGGGTAGGGCCGGAGCCAGCAGGGCCGAGATGCCAAAGGAAGGGTCAGACAAAACCACAGGTGACTCAGCTGCAGACGTTTTGGCTAAAGGAGCGACCTCGGGTGACTTTCTGTACAGGGAATCTTTTATCTCTAACACTTCGGCTGCTCTGACCTCTGCCAGTTTCATTCTACTAAGAGTAGCCTTTTGTTTCCTCCAGGGTGGTGGGCAGCCACTGCCTACCCTAAGTGCAAAGTCTGGCTTGGTGGTTTTCTCTGCTAATATAGAAACATGTGGCGGTGGCGGCATCAGTATTTCCTGCGCATCGGTGGGCTGGAATGCTGCTTCTGGAGGGAGAGAGGTCTGAGGGAAAGAGGGTGGGCGGGCTGGCGCCTTGGACACTGGAAATGGGGGCCCCATCCTTGGCGGGAAAAGCGTGCTAGACGTCAGGGAGGCTGGAGAAGGACTCTCGTACACAGGTGCAAGTACCTGGGGCAACAGCTGTTGGGCAACAGCACTTTCTGCATCAGCCGGTGAGGGAAAACCTACCCCTGCCAGAGGCACCGAAGGCAAGGAGGCCTTGGAGAGGGACTTTGGTGAAGGATCATCGGAGAAGCTTTCTTCCAGCATGAAGGCAGCCATCGCTTTTGGCTCAGAGACGCAAGGCTTCTTAAAGAAAGGCCTTTCCTCAAAGTAACCGAGGCTGCCGTCTTTGGGCATCGTCTCTCCTATTTCAATTCGTTTTTTATGGTGTGCATTCCACGACTCAAAAGCGCTGTTTTCGCTGTGGAGAAAGCTACTTTTTCTGGCTAGTTCTTTCGCTTTCCCAGTTCTGGTTTTCACCATCTTGTCAGAGATGCTGAACCTGGGTACATTCGAAGCCTTTGCCTGAGAAAGCTGAGAAACAGGCAGCCTCAGACAGGCCAGGTCTATTTTGCTGTGTCCTTTGCGCTGATCGCTGGGGCCTGCTACACTTGGACGCGGGTCTGGAAGTTCAGAGATCCCCGCTTGGATGTTTACAATTGTTCTGTCACTCCAGAAAGCAGTTTCGTCTCCACAAATTAACGGACACCCTGTCCAACTGCTGTTTGCCGGCTGCTTGGCTATCAGTAGTGAGACCTGGTTGTCAACCTTATTAAAGGTCTTTATCAAAGAAGACACTTTTGAGATATGTGTACAGTTGTGCAGATCAGACAGCGGCAAGTCAAGTTTTCTTCTTATGCTTGGGCTGACTAGAGAATACTTCTTGTCTTCATGAGTTTTGCAGTTAGTAGAAACTTTGGAAAGTAGGAATGTTGCACGCTCCTTTTCTGACAGTTGCCTGTGGAAGTTGGTGTTTTTCTTGAGGGCAGAATTCCAGGGGCCGTGAAAGAATTTGCTAGAGAACTGGTGGGAGATGCCGGATGGCCCAATGGGGTCTGCTTCTGTGTAAGGCGTTTGAAGCTCAGCCACGCACAGACTTTTGAAAGCTCGGTCGGTGAGGCTGCACACTTCTCTGTCGGTGTCGTCCGGCAGACTCCCAATGCTGGAGGAATCACTCTGTCCATCCGCGTGTTTCTTACTCCCCTGCATGGTCCATATGAGTCATTAATGAAATGGGTGGTTGACCTTTGGGGCTACCGCTTCTCAAGCATTTTTCACAACTTGGGGTTAACTTTTCTTCAGTGAGCTGCAATTTTATATTCATTTCTCATAAGGAAGCACAAAGTGGGGCTTTCCAGTCTGCAAATTGAACATATATAAGTTTACATTATTGTATTACAATACAACGCAATTGCACATAAACCTTTTCTGTTTAATTCCCACTGATCCCCAATTTAATCTGATATTCTAGAATTACTTTGCATTTAAATATTTATACATTATATATAATAAAATAGTTTTGAACTAGAACAGCCCCCAGAAAAATAATTAAGAAAGATCAAGAGTTTTTTAAAATGGTGCTGAAGCTTTCGTGACTCTCCTCTTTCTCCAGAAATTCTTTTTAAAAACCCAAATTTTCTTTTCCCCTCTGAAAATCTGAGCTGTAATGTTAGCAGTCTACCTGGCATGGCCTTGCAGGGTCTCCTCCTCATTTAGCTCAGCCATGGGGAGACCCCAGCAGGGTGCAGAGCCCTGGAGGGCCTTTGCAGGTTTCTATTGGTAATGTTATGCTACGCATTCGGTAATAGGAACCGCGTCACGACTGAACAGTGACGATGTCATGTCTCCTTCGAATGTCTAATTGCCCCCTGGATGCTTGACCTCTTTCTTTGGCAAAAGTTATTTTCTTTGTGATTGACATGCTCTGTGTATGATAAAAACCTCCTACCAAACACCTCCCTTCGACCAGTCCGCTCCCATAGAGAGGGCCTCCTTAGAGTGCCGTCGGCCAGACAATGCCGGCTGGCGACCCCCAGGGGGAGAGCCTTCTCTGTGGCAGCTCCTGCCCTCTGGAATGACCTACCCGCCGACCTACGTACAGTTGCGGACCTGCGCCTTTTTCGCCGAGCCCTGAAGGCCCATCTATTCCGTGCGGCCGGCCTGGCGTAGTTCGATTATGTTTCAGTGGGGGTTTTTTTACAGGTGTGTTTTTAGAACAGGCCTGTTATTTAATTCGATTTTAAAACAAACTATTTATTTATTATCGTGGTTTTTAGTATCGCCTGTTCACCGCCCTGAGTCCCGCAAGGGAGATAGGGCGGTATATAAATTTAATAAATAAATAAATAAATAAATGAGTCTGTGAAGTTTTGCACCTGAATTTGTTTTTCTTGCATAAAGAAATGTTCTGTCCTTAATTGTGTATTCTGAATAAGTTGCTTGGACTTGCTAGCAGTTGGGCTCTAACCTGGCAAGTCTTCCCAGGTGAATAAAAGCAAGATCTTGTGTGACTGCCTGGGACAAGTTTGAAACTGTAATTCCTGGAGTGGACAGGACACTGAAATCTGCTAGGCGCCACCTGGTTCCTCTGCCCTTCCTGGCTGGTGAAGGCCAATCTCCTGTTGGGTCCAGCCAGCAATATCTGCTCTGCTAAGAGAAGGGGGTGATACCACCAGCCTTGAGGGAGGCAAGGCCCTCACTGGACTTCATTTCACACCAAACAAGGTTACCAGGTAAGGTCATTTATCAATTTGGGGTCAGTACATTGATGATACCCATTGTTCATCTTGACAGCAGGCCGGCCAAGTGGTGCCATTAAGGTCTTGACTTAGTGTCTGGAAGAACAGGGTCAAGGTCAACCTTTACAAGGCCAAGTGGCCATGGGGATGTAGGCCACCTGGATCTAGACCTGTTCCCTATTTAGTCTTCAACAGGGTCGTATTTCCCCCTTTAGAACTGATGTACATCTTGAGGTCTTTGGGGATTCCTGCTCGATGAACAGTTGGCAGATGTGGCCAAGAAGGCCTTCAACAAATTCATCTAGCGTACCAACTGTGCCCATAACTCTTAGGACATAACGCTTTGGTCACCTCACATTTGGAGCCTTGCAGTGGACTGCAGTTGCTGAGGCTGCCCTTGACCACGTGGGAGGCGAGCTGGTCCAGAAGGCAGCAGCCCAGCAGGAAGTGGCTGTGCCGTGCTAGGCCAACCTAACTAACCCCTCTGCTTTGGAAACCGCACTGCTCTTACTGGTAGACTCCTGGGCCCAATTTAAGGCACTGGTGATCATCTATACAGCCTTCCACAGTTTAGGGGTTGATTATCTGGGGCATTATCCCCCCCTCTGTAGTTTGTGCTATCCCACACGATCAGGAGAGATCAGCCTATCTGTGTCCTGTTGTTTTAACAGTGTCACACAAACCCACCATTAAGTGATTCTTAAAACTTGGCTCTTCCCCCAGACTTCGGGCAAGAATGCATGTGTGAAATTACAGGTCTGCTGTTATTTTTCCAGATGTTTATTTATTTGTATTATGTATTACATTGACTAAAAAGGAATGATGTGGGAAATGCAATGAGAACAACAGTTCATGAAAACATATATTTTTTGCAATGTCCTAAAATTTTGGGGAAAAGTTATTACACGTATGAATTTGCCTCGGATACCAGGTTTAATATTTTTGACATCTACACTCTTTGGAACGAGACATGATTACAGTTACTATAAATATGCTCATCCTTTATTGAAATTGTTATACAAAAATTATATTCATGCACAAGAAGTCACTATCTGCATAATTTTTATTGCACTGTTTTCTTTCTCTTGCTTTCCTTTCTCTTTCCTTCTGTTATTCTTTTTCCTTTGTTCTCTTTTATAAAGGCAAAATAAATAAATAAAAAAACAAGCCCACCCTGCAACATGGGATGCATCACGAATCTCCATTATCTCCTTTAATATTTAATTGGTGCTGGAGCCCCCGGAGTGATTAATAAGATACACTGGTGATACCCAGGAAAGGCACAGGCCTGGACTGGAATGCAATTTGTCCCTATGTTCACGTGGTATTTGGGTGCTTCTTCAATATTATATTTGTTGAAATTGTATAATTATATGGAAAATATGCCAAGTATACAAAAAAATCAAACGTCATGCCTATTGGCAATAAGGTTCCTAAAGATGTGAATTTCGCATTGGTTTTTTGTTCAAAATCTATTAAATTGTGATTATAATTCCTATGAATTATAATTTTAGAAGATATAAACAATTTAAACTATACTGGCCAGATGAAAGGAGACATGGGGAGATAGATGCAGAGGCACTTTATGCTTGTAGGAAAGAGCAAATATTAAAATATAGGTCTGTCTCTGACTCTATATCTATTTTATTTGTTAATCACATTTACATGGTCACCTATCTCACAAAAAGTGACTCTGAGTGACTTTAATGAAACAACAAATACATATATAAATCATTATAAAAATATTTTCAGAACATTACCAGCTTGGTTCCACTTCAATGTTTTTAGCTGCCTGGCAAATTAACGATTGTTTTGTAATGGAAAGAGCAAAAGGCAGGCCTTCCGTTTTCTGGCCAGCTTTGGGTTCAGCTTTAGGAAGGACAGAAATGCTGACTGACTGCGGAGTTCCGGGGCTTGAAGTCAACAAGTCTTAAAATTGCCCTAGTTACCTTGTTTCTGCCTATTTTCAAAATATTTTTGTTTTAGATTTTTTTTTTGCTTCTATAAAACCAATTAAATCAATATTGTTCTTTATCTGTCATTAATTATACATATGTGCTTACTAACCACTGTTCTTTTACTTATATCATTCCTTTTATCAATCTGTTTTATACCTTATTTTTCCTTCAAAATATTAGTACTGTAAGAAACTCACTGCCATTCTAAGGCTTTCAAGTGGTTTTAATATTTCTTGCAATAATATAGCACATTTACAAGGATTGAATACGCTATTGAAATCATCTGTCATTACCATTTCCTAGCTGTTTTTATTTCCTTAATCAGGTTAATTAAAAGTTGGTGATAGATCTGGTGCATAAAGTGATAGCATTGCTGCAACAAGAGAATAATCTGTAATTGTTACTTATAAAACATTTTTATTGGATACTGGCACTGCAGAGAATGTTTCACAAGAAATTACTTTTCCGGCTACAGGAAATGGGGTTGGGAATATGAATGCTTACGTAGGCCTCCTGTTTTCCCCTTTTAGTCTGAATTTAAAAGGACTTTGCCAAGGTGACATTTTCATTTATTTTCTCTGAGTTGTATCTCCTCTTAACTACAGAAGACGAAGTAGGTTGGACTGGAGAGGAGTGAACTTTTGTGGAGAGGGCAGACCGGGTCCTTCCAGCACCTCCACCCCCCTGGAGGAATCTGGTTAAGAATATGCATGCGCCCCTTACTGTGTGGCTTTGAACGCATTTCAAAAATTATTTTTAAAAACAATAGCCTGCATTTCTGCTTATTCCAAATACCAAAAGTAGCTTACAGCAATAAAAATGCAGAGTATTAAAAAAAACAAAATTAATGCAGTTAAATGAATCATTAAATGAATTAGCAATTAAAAGCTTGGTCCCAAAAATATTGCCACATTTTGGATAAATAGGGGCGAACCTTCCACAGGGAGCACCTTCCCACGGCCGGGAGTGATGTAGGGCAAGGCCCTCGTCCGTGACATTTGAGCTTCCGGCAACGAGCCTCTCTCCAGCCTCTCCCAATGGTCTAACCAGGGAGGTTCATAGCGAGAGAGGCTTCCGCACAAGTGAGCAGCCCCCGAGCCCTTTAGAGGACAAAACCAGCATCTTAAATTGGCCAGGTAGAAGTTGGTACCCAGTGCCAATCTTTCACTGCAGGCTTCCTACAATTCCTGTCCCTTGTTCCATTCAGGAGCCTGGCATTTGCACTTTTTGCCACGTCTTGTACGTGAAGTCCGGCTGTAGGGCATATAGTTTATGTAAAGGCCCGGGTGCAAACAGCTTCAAACCCAGTGCCAGCAGGGGATCCAGGAAGGCTCCCAAGGCTTTGGAGTCTTTCTGGGCAAATGCAGCCCCATCCAGAACAAACTTCACCTCAGGCCCAAAGTGCAGTGACCTCAGACTTGCCTTGATTTAATCTGACTCGTACTCCTCCAATTATCTCTCCTTACTGAGATCAGGAAACATTTAAAGGTACTGACGGTGTCTTCAGAGCTGGGCAGCAGGGAGCAGCAGAGCTCAGGGTCCTAAG